TATATGAGTTCCACAGAAATTAGAGATAATGGCCTGAGGGATTTTAAGGAAACTCTTTCAGAGTATTTTTCCCTTCAGTTTGGGAAGTCACTCTTTGGTTTCAGTTGGACGTGGATGACCGACCCTTCTCTCGCCCGTGGCAGTGGCGGCGAGGACCTGTGGGGGCCACGTGTGCAGCCCACACCAACATAGCAGGGTCGCTCGGCTGACGTCGGGTGAGCAGTGGAGGGAGCGGCCTGCAGCGTGGCAGGCGCCCGGGCAGACCACTGATGCCCACGCGTGGGGCATGGACTGCGGGCCGTCAGTGACGTGAGACGAGGTCGATGGTGACCGTGACCGTGACCAAGCCCAGAGCTGCACACAGCCCGGAGCAGCTCCCGGCCACCCTCCCACCCAGCGGGCAAGAAGTCTGGCAGTTTCAGGCCACAGCTTGCACCCCATTCCGCTTTCTCTGTGTGCCACATGCCCGCCCCCCAAAAGAGGTAAAAACGCCCGCACTCCACAGGCCGGGTGTCCTTCCTGGGAAATACAGAAACCTCCAATTTTGGGAGATTTGGACCCCGTAATGAGGCATCTTGGAGACGGGGCCCAAATCTAAACACAGGACTCAATCGGGCTGGGGTCCTGCGTCCCGTGCGCCCCCTGACACATAGCCTGGGTCAGGCGGCTCGTGCTGTCCGTGACTGAGGCACAGGCCTGTGAGGTGGGTTAGAGCGCTCACTGTGACGTCCTGCTGCGGCTCTGAAAGCTCCAGGTTTTACAGCATTTGGGACTGGGGGCAGGGGTGCTCGACTGGCATTTATTTTCTTTCACACAGGATGTGGTAGAGGTGAAACTCGCTCCAAACCTTTTTGGAGTATGGAACGGCTTTCGGGCTGAGTCTAACATTCCTCAGTGTTCAGTGTCTCAAGAGGCTGGTTCTCCTGGCGGATGTTACAGACACCTCTGGTCCCAGGTGAGAGGGTGACACAACCCACCGAGGCCAGGGATGTGAGTGGCTGGCGCGTCCCAGCCTCCAGGGAAGGACATGTCCTCAGGGTGCCCTGGCTGTGGGAAGAACCAGCTGCAAGCAGACCTCGGCATCCTCCTCCCAGACAGCAGCGTGGCCTGTGGCCACTCACTGCAGTTGTGAAGACAGAGAAGCCACGGCCTGGGCACAGCTGGGAAGCAGGTGCTGAGCATGGAGCAGTTCCAGAAGAGTCCACACCACCTGAGCTCAGAGAGCCGCGACGAGTAGTTCAAACCACTACACAAAGCCGGCCCAAGGCTGCCGCTTGGCACCAGGCGCAGCACACAGAAGAGGAAGACAGGGCACCGTGACCCGCTCTGCCTCTTCCCGGAGGCCAGGCACGTGGAGACCACAGGGCTTGGCCGCCACGGGACCCGCTGAGCTCCAGCCCAGCACAAGGAGCACAGCTGCCAGTTTACGCTCAAACAGTAAAACTGTTTAGCAGAAAGCCAAGAGACGAATTCAAGGCAACAGAAGCAAAGACTTCTGTGTGAAATTAAACTTCAGGGCAGGGCCCTAATTTTCATGTTTAAGCATTTTTTACAGCTCCTGGGGATGCAGTACTGTGCAGAAGCAGTGTTTTAATAACTGCTATAAAATGCATGAAACCATTATGAATGCATAATACATGCGCGAGACCGGTCGCAAAGTCGTCAAAGGAATGTGCTGCCGATGCACATTCTGGGCCCCTACGGGAACGCTGCGGGTGGGCGGGGCCCCCAAGCCTCGTTTTCACAAGGCCCAAGGGGATTCAGGGCGAACTGCAGTGCGACCCCCAAAAGGGACTGATGGAACTGTAGTTAGAGGAGATTTTCATAAGAAATTTTATAATTAAAAAAAAACTACCGAGCAACTCTTCTAATTCTTTTGTTTCCTGGCCAGGAAATATGAACAGATTAAAAGTAAAAAGAGGCACAATGCACACATCGACCTTTTGTGAGGCCAATACATAATGCATTAAGTTTTCCTTAGCAGGGCAGTTTTTCTCTATCAAAGCAAGTGCGAGCTCTGACGAAAGCGTGCTGCTCCACGTGCTAGTGAGCTGTGTAGGAGGGAAGCCTCCGCCTCGCTGAGACCCAGCCTCTCAGGGGTGAACAACCCCCGGGACCTCTGGCACACTAGCTGTCAGCCCCCGTCAGCCCCCGTCGGGCTCCTGACTGACCTCCTGCCCCGCCTCTGTGCGGGCGAGGGGTGTGGCCACATCCTGAGAAAGCGAAGCGCTGGCATCTTGCACAGCCGGGCAGAAATCAAGTTGGGTTTCCTAAAGAGCCCCGTGTCCCTGGGGATGCGCACTAAGGCCCGGTGAGTGCAGAGGCAGGCGGGCCCCAGCTCCTGGGCCGGGCAGGGCTGGGCAGGCTGGGCAGGGCTGGCTCCCAGCTGCAGGGCCGAGAGTGAGACTCGAGGGAGGATAAGAAACAGCACCAGCCCTTCCAGCTGAAGAGGAGAAACGACACCTGGAGACAGCACGGGAGAAGGAGGCGAGCCTGTCTGTCTTCTCCCAAGGAGCCCAACGGGCGTCTGAGGGACACCTGGGGCGGATGGTCAGTCCCCTCAAAGGCCAGGCTTGCTAGCACTCAGAGATGGGTTTGCTTTTAGTCTTCAAAGGAGAAAACTAGCAAGCCTTTTAAAATGCAAAATACACCAGCCAGACGAGGGGGTGCAGCCTCCACTCCCAGCAGCGGGGAGGCTGAGGCACTCCACTCCCGGCACTCAGCAAGCTGGAGAGCAGCCTGGGCAGCTTAGAGACTTAGCTTGTCTCAGAATAAAAAGTAAAAAAGGGCTGGGGATGCAGCTCAGTGTCTGGGTCCGGGTTCAGTCCCGAGTGCTGCACTCAGGGAAGAGTCTTGCTCACTTACATCTCAGGTGCCGGGACGCTTCTGAGTGACACACATCGTGAAGGTGGGGCCCCAGACTGCTGTGCTGGCTCAGAACCAGGCTGCCTGTCGTCCCCTCCTCCACAGGATGCCGGGCCCCGTGACAACAAGAAAGTGGTACGAAGACCCAGCCTCTGCGTCCTGCGGGGAGGCTGAGCCACCCAGAGAGGTCTGCCCCGCTGCACACAGTGGTATCAGGATTGACCACAAACCCGAGGGTTCTCGGGGCCTGGTGGCGGCCGTGAAAGCCAGGCTATGCCCCAAGTGATCCCAAACAAAAAGGAAAAGAGATGGGGCAGGGGCAGCGGAAGCCGGGAAAAGCACTAAGTGAGGGACATGTCCACCTGTCCGTCAGGTGACACCTTGGAACTGGGAGGGTTAGGACCCAGCTCTGGGAGGGTTAGGACCTAGGCTGTTCAGGCCTAGAGCCCTGCGGGAGGCCAGCAGGACAGGTCACCCAGAGTGGGGCCTCAGGAGCCGCTGACCACACTCATGCCACCGTGTGGGGCCCGAGAGTCCCAGCGAGGCATAGCCCCAGCCCTGCGTTCCAACTCGGCACACAGCCACCCTGTCCCCATACCGTGTCCGACTTCGGCTTCTAAGTTAAAACAGAATGCCAAGGACCTAGAAAGGATCCATGAAAGTGGTTAAACACAAGCAACTGGCACTGCTGTCATCCAGAGAAAGTGAGTCTAATACAAGACAAGCAGCGCAGTCCGCTCACATTCTGAGTTGGAACCGGGACAGGAACCCATCCCTGTGCAAAAGGACTTGGTCCTGGGCTCAGACAGCGACGAGCCCCGCAGTGTCCCACAGAGAGGTGACGCTGCTCCTGCACCCTCTCCAGGGCCCCGCCCCCACGCCCCACACAGACACCAGGAACGGGCTGAGGTGCTACCCCTCCTGGGCTCGCCCGATCCCTGTCTTCACACATAGCCTCTTTGCACTCGGCACCTTTAACCAGGCTTGTGCGCCAGACTGGGAGTTGGGGCAGAGCACCTGACCCTGCTGCTGGCTCTGCGGTGCTTTTTCAGTGTGCCACTCAGGAGAAGCACCCCCAGTTCCCTGCTGGCCCCGACATGCTCTGAGTGCACCGGGCACCGTGTGACGTCGCGTGAGGCCTGCTCTGTGGCATGTCCCACCAGCCACGACCAACCCTTTGGCTCCACAAGCGGCCTTGGCCTTCCACCTTCAGAAGCGTCACCTCCTGGCGCCTGCCAAGACATCACGGTGCGCTGGACCTGACAGCCGAGGGTCCACTCACTACCCGACAACGGCGAGGTCAGACCCAGCCCCGACTGCCTGAGCACCTCCTCCCTGTCACAGGTCCTGCGCGGGCACAGCACCCGTGGCACAGCTGGTGTGGGGCGATGTGGCTGGGCACACACACACACACGCACGCACCCCACCTTCTGCCTTTGAGAAGTGGAAGCAGGCCTGTGAGCGACAGTGACACTGGACCCTGCACGTATAACTCTAGTTTGGGATCTCACTACACAGCAGGCAGCTTTGGGGACAGCTGAGTATCCCCGGGGGCGGGGGCTCACAGAACAGGCCTGGCTGCCCAGAAGGGTCAGAGCTGGGCTGTGTGGTCCCGCCCACAGCAGTGATGACCTTGGGACTGGATGGCTACAGAGAGAGACAGAGCACGGCCAGAGGCTGTGGCCCTCGCACGCAGGCGGGGAAGCAGCGAAGCCCAGGGCCTCTCCCTGCGGGAAGAGGATGCCTGGGGCCCGGGACAGAACACTCACTTTACCCTCCTATCCCCAAAAAGCAGGTAGCGACAGGGTCGGGTGCTCACGACCCTAAGCGCAGAGGCAAGCAGAGTCACAGACCTCTCCCAAGTGGTACTGAGTGGGCTTAATGTCAGCCCCAGATGCCCCTCCTACTTGTGGCACACTTCCACCACCTGGCCAGGCGGCCCCAGGACTCACCCTTCAATGGGGCTTGGCAGTGCCCAGACCCCCAGACGCCCGAGCTGTAGCTGGTGGGGGGCCCAGCGAGCACCGTGTTCCTGTGGGCACTGGCAACGTGGGGAACTGTTCCCGAGCTGTTCTGTGACACGGGTAACCACGTCACAGACCACAGGGCCGCTGTGTGTGGCCGGCTGCACTTACCGAGGACTCGCTGTCCCTGACCAGGAAGTCGCCCTCTACGCCCCGCTCGTTGAGCGCGCACTCGGCCTGGTGGCGCGTCACGCTGCCGTAGTACCACTCTCGGCCCGCGAAGCGCCCGCTGGCTGAGGGCCCAGAGAAGCCGGGCTGTGGGGCGGGCACAGGGTGTGGGGCCGGCCCGTCGCTCAGCACCACCACGTAGTTCTTGGGGACCAGGCCCACCTGGCCCCGCGCGTTCTTGCACTTCCACCACTCGGGGTCGTTCTCCGGCTTCTCGATGACCTCCATGGTCTCGCCCTTGTCGAAGTTGAGCTCCTCCTCGGTGGCCGAGCTGAACGGGTACAGCGTCTGCACCACGTGCAGCGTGCCCCGCGCCAGGCTCAGGCCAGGGGCCCTGCGCGGCCCGGGCACCCCGGGGGGCTCGGCAGCGGCTGCGTCCACCTCCTCCAGCACGTAGTTGGACGGGAACCAGCCCACCTGCCCGTTGGAGCTGCCCCGCCACCAGCCGTCACTGCACTTCTCCATGACAGTGACGCGCGAGCCCTTCACCAGGGACAGCTCGTCCTCACGCTCGGCCGCGTAGGCGAACTTCACCAAGGCTGGGATGCTGAGGTCGTAGATGCGGTCGGCTGCGCCGTTGGCCGGGAACTCGGCCTCCGTGCTGGGTGTCGGGGACGCATCCCGAGCGCTGGGCTTCCTGCGCGTCCTGCCGAGGCCTGTGGGGAGACAGCGGGCTCAGTGTGGGCAGTGGGCTGGGACGAAGCACCACCCGGAGGCTGCCTGGGGCAGCAGCGAAGCTACTCGGGGAGAGGCCAAGCTGGCCACTCCTCCACCCAGGACACCAGGTGCAAGAACCGTGGAGAGTCAGGGAAGCATCACCAGCGTTAGAGACGGCCTGAGGTCCCTCGGATAGGAAAGTCAGGTTTGTGGTGAGGAAAGTTCAAGTGTTTAAGACTTTATGACAGTGAGACACCACTGCCACGAATCCCCGCAAAAGGCCGCTCTGTCTTCACACACACTCAGTCCACCGTTCTTGCCTCTCTCTGCAGCAGCGCTGGAGTCCTCCTACACGTCTGTACCAGGTCTGATCAGAAACTCGGTGAATGCTGCTGTCCAGTGCAGGCCACAGAAAGGCAGGCTCTGAGGAACAGGGCGCCATGTCCTCCTCGCCTCACCAGGTCTGCACTGTGCCACGGCCGGCTCTCCCCAAAGTCAAAACGACCATGGGAGGGTTTTTGAATCGATTCACGACTTTAAGGCAGCCAGGACAGTGCCAGTATGGACACTCAGGAAAGAGGACCCCAGAGCTGCTGCAGAAAGTGCGAGGACGGTGGGACGGGTGCGTTCGATGAGAGGACAGTGTTCGGAGGGGATTCGTGGCAGGGTCTTCTACTGTGATACACCTTTCAAATTTGAACACCTGCCTTGGAGAAAGGCATCCAGGTGCTCTGCGCCCTTGCTCTGGGCTCAGGTGGGCAGAATGAGGCAGCAGAGCCGTGGCCTGGAGAGGTGGGGTCTCCACAGCAGCAGCAGGGTAGCGTCCGTGGGTGTCCTTCTCCCTCCAAAACGACACTAAAGACTCTCGGGTGCCTTACCTCTCTCTCCTGCTATGCCCAAACCGGAGGGGACAGCTGCTCCTCCCAGCCCCTCTGGCGTCCACTGCCTTGCTGCAAGCGCAGGGGGAAGCGCTGAGGCGGCAAGGAGGCGATCCTTGCCCCGGCAGGTCACACAGCCAGGTCTGAGGTGGCAGCTGGGACGGGTGCCCAGTGCAGTGTGTGTGCGGGGTGAGCTAGGGTCCCCCATACAGTGGCTTCCACTGCCTCGTCACGGACTGCGGATTGGACCCACTCGCAGAAAGGCAAGATTTCATGTTAAACACTGAAACTTCCACCGAGAGCTCTGCTCCGTATGAAAACAGGAAATGCTAAGCCTTATAGCTCAGCCTTCCACACGGTGTCCAATGCAAAGCAGCTGTAGCCATGGCGAGACCACCGAGGCAGCACCATAATCAGGGCTGATGTCCAGGTGGACGGCCCTAATTCGAAAACCCGAAGCCTGAAATGCTCCCCGATCTGAAGACTTTTCAGTGCCTATGCAGCCACAGACACGTGTCTGACCTGGAGTCTCCGGCAAAACCCCGGAGCTGCGAGCACCAAGGCTAGCTGTGTTCAGGCCACTTGCCGGTGTGTACAAAGCAGCAATGCATTTAATGTTCAGAGCTGGGATCCGTCTCCAAGACCCTTATCCCGTGCACATAAACGTTCCACAGCCAAAGTCAACCTAAATTCCAACACCTGTGGCCCACACAGTGCAGATATGGGCTCTTTTCTCATTATTATTTGTTTGTAGTATTGGGGATGGAACCCAGGGCATCCACACTGAGCTCCATGCCCAGCTCCCCGCCCTAACCCCTTTAAGTGCTGAGCTGGGCCTCACTAAGTTACTACATTGCCCAACCTGGGTTTGAACCTTGCAATCCAATTTTCTTGCCTCAGCCTACCCCCAGAGTCCTGGGATTACCGACATGTGGCACCATGCCTGGGTCAGAGACTCTGAAACTTTTGCCCAGAAGGCAGGGGAGCCTGGAGCCACTAGGCGGGTGACAGACCTTCTGCAGGTCAGCACTGTCTAGTCAGCCAGGACCTGGGTACACGGCTTTTAGGGAGTTAAGGATGCTGCAGAGGACACCTAGAAATGTTAGTTGTGGGCCTCGTCAGGAGTGTGGGCCGTGACGCACCTAGAGTCCCACGGGCGGGGCTTGTCACTCATCAGGACTCGGAGGACACACAGTCTGGGCCCTGCACAGAGGCTGCCACCCCTGCAGGACTGGCCCGCGACTGCGCCACACTGCTGACCCTTCCCACAACCCACGTGAGCTCACTCACTGAGCCAGAGTCCCCATGGAATCCTGGAACCACTCGAAGCTTCTTGGGCAGTGAGACGGGCGCAGCCCCAGAGCAGCCCCGGCCGGGAGCGCCCGGCCCTCTGCACACAGAGCCCCAGGGCAAGACCACCCTGCCCGGCACTGACAGCAAGGCCAGCCCGCACAGAGCCGTGAGCACACTGACTGAAGTCTCTGTCCGAGCCCCGCCACGGAGTACCACGGCCTTGCAGCCACAGACAGCTGCTCCCCCAGCTGCACGGGACCCAGCGGTTTCCTTCTGAGCCCCTCCCTGGCCTGTGAGCGTGCCTCTCCTCCGTGTGCTCTGGGCTTAGCCTGTGCATCTGTGTCCGATCCCTTCTGCCTCTGCAGCACTGGGCATTGAGCCCAGGGCCTGGGGCATGCCAGGCAGGGTACCCAGCCCCAACCCGGAATTCTTATAGAACACCCGTCGTGCTGGGCAGGGCCTGCCTTGAGGACCTCGCTTGAACTCTCACTGCTGAAGGCTGCAAATCCACGCAGTCACGTCCTGCAGTGGATACGGGGTCAGGGACAGCTCAGGCCTCTCACATTTACCTTCATGAGGCGATGGTGCCGGGCTGGGCTGGGCTCAAAGTGGGGCGCTCGCCTAGCATGTGGGAGGCCACTGACTCACCCCAGCACCCAGAGTCATGGGGTTCACGGCCAGATGGAACCTCGAGGTCCGTGTGTCCACCCCATCCCAGCTGCTGTATCGGTCACCACGGGGTGGGCGGACTCTGAAGCCCAGGAATTTCTTTTCCCGCCCGGAGGTCAGGCACCCAGGTCCTGGCTCTCAGCAGATGGCTGCTCGCTATGTCCCTTGGTAGGCGGGAAGGGGTCTCCGTGGGCCACTGTTCAAGGTCACTCAACCTCCACCCCTGCAGGCTCGGGGTCTCAGGACCCAGGTTGCCATCTGCTCGTGCTGCTGCGTGCACACAGAGGTGGGGCATAGCGGCCCGGCCAGGGGTTTTCAGTGCAGCCCTGGGTCCCTGCATGTAGCCCAGGGGGCTGCAGCTGGGGAGACAGAGGTCCACTGACCCTGGGCTTCCTCCCCAGGGCCCCTGGCAGTGGTGATGCTGTGCTCTGCTCAGGGCCTGGGTGAGGCGGTGACAGTCTCCGCAGGGCACCGGTCCAGCTGTCCCTGGCCAGGCGGCAGCCAGGCTGAGGGCACAGATGCAGCCCTTCTGAGCCACCCCAGGCGGCCCCGGTGTGCAGCCCCAGGGGACTCAGCCAAGGTCCCTGAGAGTCAGCTTGCTGTTGTCACGTGAAGCACCAGCCACAAAGCGGGCAACCAAGTCGTCGCGCTTAATGAGAAAATAGTGTGCGCTTGTTCTGTGAGCAGACAGATGGCACCGTGTTCAGTGGCAAATGGCCGAGCTGGATTTAACGGTAAACCATACTTTTTGCACTTCTGTGACGATTTTTTGGCATCGGGCTATTAGATCCCTGATCTCGAATTACACTTTTATTGATGATAATAAGCACATTTAAACTTTCCTGAAAAAATTTACATACATTAAAGATGAGTTCTAATAAAAGCTTGGCTATGTCATACATTATTAATGCTAGTAATTTTAAAGTCAAAATCTTCGATACTCTCCTCTTGAGATGAAGGGATGTTAGAACAGACGCCTTTAAAACATGCTCCGGCTGTCATCTTCCAGCTGGAGTTCTGGAGATTTAAGACAAAACGTCAAATCTGATAGTTCCGAAATCTACTCAAGCAGAGTCACTTAGCCAGTGCTCTTAAGTTTTAGGAGCTCCACAGCAAAATCATGTAAATTTTTTATTACTAATCAGATCCATAACATAAACCAGATTCAGCCAGAAAACCTCCTTACACTTAAAACGCCATTATTTACGCTAAGTTACTATCAGTGAGTCTGAGGTTCTAGTGGTAAAGTCAACTAAAAACAGTAAAGGCTTTTATTGTCCAACGCCCAGGGCCTGGCAAGACCAGGCTCAGCAAGCAAAGCTCACTCCCCTGCAGGGCTGAGCCTCACTGCTGATGCTTTTCAGGTCACCTCGGCTGACTTGATTTGTGCCTCGTTTTTCAGGTAAGATCAGCTTGCAGTGGTTCACAGAGGGCCTATGTGCAAAGACTTCTTAAAATACTAGCACAGGTAAAAAGATGAAATTCAAATTTACTAAGCCTAAGGACTTGGGATCAGGTGACCTTGGAAAATTAACACAGTGCACTCTGAGGTCGCTACCTCACCAGTGCCCTTTATCCCACCCGTCTCCTCGAGGTACCCCAAAGCTTCCCACACTTGCTGGGCCCGGGGGGACCTGGGGCTCACCCTGCGGGGTGAGGACACCCTGGGACAGGCTGCAGTCACGGGAAACACTGTCCCTTGGAGGATGGGCCAGGAGACGCCAGCAGCACCAGGACCTGCAGAGTCTGCCTGAAGAATGAGGAGCAGAGTTGGCCAGAAGTCCGGACGGACAAAGAGACAGGCAGACAGGCAGGCAGGCAGACAGACAGAGAGATAGGCAGACAGACAGGCACACAGTCAAACTGGCAGGCAGTCAAACAGGCAGACAGACAGGCAGGCAAACAGATAGATAGGCAGACAGGCAGGCAGACAGGGAGACAAAGAGACAGGCGAACAGACAGGCAGGCAGACAGACAGGCGGGGCCCACAGCTGGAGCAGAGACCTGGACCCACCATACTCTCAGGAATGTGAGCCAGCTTTCAACGTCCATTGGTTTTACTTTAGCTCCCTGTGAGCTGACCTGCTATCACATCAGTGAAGAGCCTGAGGAATTACCCTCAGCCAGCTGCTCTCCTGCCCTCTACCTCCTCAAATGTGCCAGCTGCCGGTGCACGGCTAGAGTTCATTTAAAGACGTGTTTGTGTTACGACTGGTACACGCACCGCATCATGAAGGGCTCCACACAAGTTCCCTGGTCCAGGGAGATGGAGCCACAGGATGGGAAAGAGGGCAGTGACTGAGAGGGCCAGGACCAAAGGCACAGGCTGGCTGGACGCTGCTGTCACGCGCCACATCCTCCTCCGTGGAGGATGCACCAGGAGTGGCCCAGCCATGCCGCTGTGGGGCCACAGGCCCCACCTGAGCCCAACACCGCCTGGGTTCCTGGTCCCCGTGTCTGGGACTCTGAACCCGAATTCTCATCCCCGCTAACAAGGAAGCCCATTCCGTGTGAGAGACAAGTAACCCGAACACATTTCAACCTCAAAACAAACAGTGGCTGGAAGTAGAGGATTTTCTCACCAATATGAAAGCCAAATGCTAACACAGGCGCCAGTAAAAAGAACTGAAAAGCTCTTTTCATTATAATTGTTAATGAAAGATACATACATAGTGTCTCTCCATATCTAGACCCAATCTAGGAGCTCAAGTGGTTGGTTCTGAAGGTGAGAAGGGGGGTGACAGGAAGTGTTGATCTGCTCAATGGCTCGGCACACACCGCCCGGCAGCTGACATGGGACAGAGCCAGACAAGAGCTGCGAGCGCCACGCGGCTGGTGAGGCCCAGAGGAGCCACACTTGGGCCGACCTCTCAGAGGTCTCCATCGGCCTCACTCCAGACGCAGGAATCGTACGGCATCTCTTCCATCCAGCTGTCATCACTGGGATGCGGGGTACGGGTGACACTCGGGGGGCTGTGACGAAGGCCCGGCAGCCGCAGAAAGCAAAGGACCAGCACAAAGGAGGGCACCTGGCGAGCGCCCAGGGCCAGCGGGCACTGTGTTTGCAGCTGGTGTTGAATCCTCAGACCTTGGGGCTGTGGACAGCAGATCAGGCGAGCAGGAACCTGCCTTTTCCCTAAATGCTCCCAGCGCAAGGGGGCCATGACATGGAGTACGGAGTCCCGGAGGGCTCAGCCAGCCACCTGAGCTCTGGACGGGGAGGCCAAGGCACCCTGCTGCCTGCTGGGTGCTTCCTGCTGCCTGCTGGGGAGGGGCTCTCGGCAGTGCCCAGGGCCCAGCCTCACAGCCTGTGGCGACACTGCCCGCCGAGGGCTCGAGGGTCTGCTCCTGGTATTGCTGTGAAACGGCATGGGCCTGCTGGATGCCGGGCAGAGGTCCTGGCCCTGCGACTTCCAGGGCCCGTTCGGGACTTGCCAGACGGCACAGAGGACACGGTGAGCGGAGCGGCTTCTACCCGGAGGGCACCAACGAAGATCCACCAGGGCCGGGGTCCTCTGGGCACCACAAGGCCAGTTTTGTCACTGGTGTATTTTTCTTAGCTCACTGGACCCAGGGACACTGGACAGCCAGGCCCCCTGCTGGGTGTGCTACTGGCTTCAGAAAACAACACATCACCCGTGTTAGTTCTGGGCTTCAGCCTAGGGCCTCATGCATGTTTGCTCTGCTCCCGGGCTCCACCCCTGCTCTTCCTGTTTTATTTTGAGGCAGGGTTTCACGAAGTTGCCCCGGCTGACCTCGAACACATCACCCTCTGCCAATCAGAGGCTCGTTCAATGTGAAATAGCAGCAGGACAAGAGCTGCGGTTCCATCCCTAGTTCATGCTCCGATCACAAAGAGTTGTACACCTCAGAAGTCTGCCAGTCAACTGCTGTGTCCAGTGGCTGAGGCCCACAGACACCACGCCGGAGGGTGTGCAGAATCTGGGAACGGAGAAGCAGAGGCAGCTTGGAGGGACGCTGGACACAAGGCGACACCGAGGACATGCCGGTCGATGTGCAGAACACCCTGGCCACCTGCACCGCCCACGGAGCCCTGGCCACCTGCCTCTGCAGATGGGGCAGGGGAGGTGGCCCCAGCAGCCGGCACCAAGTCCCCACAAGGGCCCGCCCCACCTCTCGCCGGCTGCTAGGAGCACATGCCAGCCAAGGGAGAGCAAGGAACCTGTCAGACGCATGTCCAGAACCTAAGCAGGGTGGGGCGGGGCGGAAGCACAGTCAGGAATACCCAAGAAGCGTTCGCACTGATCGCAGCCATTTGCAGCTCCCGGTCCTCTGCTCCAAAGCAGGAGGGACTCTTGAGTTCTTAGAAAGTGCAGCGGAGCGAGAGGGAAGCCGCACCCAGAGGCGGGTCGGTCCTGGGAATGGAGTCAGTTGTCTTCTGGGTTCCAGGTTTGCTCCAAAACCCAGGGCTGCTCAAGCCCTTCCATAACACGGCGTTCCACTGCAGAAGAGCCCTGCACACCCTCCGGGCCTGTACCTCATCTCAGGTGACTTGTAGCGCCTGACCTGCTTTAGCACTGTGTGAGCCCCCTGGGAACAGCGACAGAAGAGAGCCCTTGCACGCTCAGCACAGACACGGTCACCTCCCGGAGATCTTCCCGCGGCACGTGGTCGGTGGTGCCCACAGGGCCACGCTGCGGACGCCGGTGCCAATGTCCTGGATCCAGTGTCTGTCCTTTGCCAGCATGTGACCAAGTCACTCAGCCCGGCGGACACAGCTGCTGGGTGTGCATCCACGAGAGCTCCACGTTGCTCCCTGCAGCTCTCTAAGGCATGCCCCCCCTACTTCTCACGGCTCTCCTGACGTCGCCCCCCTCCCTGGCAATCTTTGCAAAACAGTCTGTCTCTATTTTCTAATTATCCTCCCACTAATCTGCTGTGAGTTGTTTTACATTTTGGGTTCTGAATACTTGCAAGCATGTGACATACCGAAAGAAATCAGATTTATCTCGGGAGGCTGGCACGTGGCCACCGTTGGAGGTTCCACAGTGTTTGGGCAGGTACATGACAGCCGCTTCCACGGGGGCTCACCGGAGACACAGGCGCCGTGAGTTCCAAAGAAGGGTGTGTTCTGTTGAGTTCACGCTCACACACGGCAGGCCTTCAGCATACAGAAGTGAGTCGAAGGTACTGTCGGTAACCGCGGGAACCCAGAGTCCCCGTGTACGTGTGGTGAGGAGACAGCGAACCATTCGCTAGGGAAGCTGAACTTTTAAAATAAAACTGAGATTTTTTGGGTTTATTTTTTCAGTATTGGGGCTAAATCCAGGGCCTTCACACTGAACTACACCCCCAGCCTCTTTTTATTTTTTATTTTGAGGCAGTATCTTGCTGAAGTTGCCTCTGGGATTGAATCTGCAATCCTCCTGCCTCAGCATTTCCAAGCGCTGGGATGACAGGTATGCAGAACTGTAGCCAGCTTGATTTTTCTCTGAAGTTAGGTAAAAACTTTTAAAGGAGGAGGGTTTCACCTCAACTGTTTGCTGACTCAGTTCAGAAACATGTTTCCGTGACATTCACAATGACTGACAGGAGTGCTCGGGCTCCCAAAGAACATTCTACACAGAAGAAGCATGGTCTCCTAAGGCAAATGTACCACCAAGCATCTGCTCCCCTTTCTGCACGATTTGTAGTGTAAACAAACACTTGAGGACCCAGAGACTGCCCAAGAGCTGGAGTACATACACCGAAAACAGTTCAGTGACTCCCACCAGTTCGAGGACCAGAGCCCAACCCTCTCTGACTGTGTGGTGACCACAGTCCTGAGAGTGCCGGAAGTCACCGTGGAACTGGACCTTGCTCTCTGCCCCAGGCACAGGCAGACCCGGCCTGATAACCTCACAGGGGCACTGCCTTCCCGCGCTTGTCCACGAATTCCATTTTTAGAGTATGCGCCTGCCCCTAAGCCTAGGGGCAAGGGATCGATCCCCTTACGAATGCCCAGGCATTGCAGTTCAAATGCCGAGGAATACTTGTTTGCAGAAACCTGTCGAGCAAAGAAAGCACGCAGGGATCTCACGGTGGCTGAAGGAGGACACATGGCTCCTGGACAGACACGTGTGCCCGGCCAGACGCTGCCAGCACACAAGCCCGCCCGAGCGGAGCAGGTAGGCCCCAGACACCCAGCCTGGGTGCCCTTGAGGACCGCCTCCTGCTCCCCGCTGGCTGGTGACTAGCACGCGAGGCCCCTGTTCACCAGAATGTCAGGGGCACAGCGGGGGAAGCAGCGGGAGCAGCCGTGCGGGTGGGGGCTGGGGAGCCGCCGAGCTCGCCCACGACAGCAGCACGCGCAGGGCCCACACAGGCAGGGGTTCCCTGTCCCTCCCCTGACCCGAGTCCCCAGGGCCCGAGACAGAACAGAGACAACAGCGGAGACTGAAGCCAGGCCCTGTCACTGCACCAGAGTGCGGACTTTCTCACACGGAAACCGGCTCCTGCGGCGTCCCTCTCAGGGATCCAGCGAGGACCGAGATGCAGGTGGCCCCGGTGCAGAGTCCAGCACAAATTAGGCACCCAGGGGAGAGCGAACGCCACGCCCTTCCCTGGGAAGCTCGTGTGCCGCAGGTCAGCTGGGCCTTCCTTGGCTCTCCTTGGCTTCCAGATGGGGCCAGGTATAAGCAAACAGCAGACTGGACAGGCTCTGCAGGGCCTGGAGGTCAGTGAGGAGCAGGGACGTCCCCACTGTGTGCCAGAGATGCGGGGAGAACCGCGGAAAGGAGCCCAGGTCTGGCAGAGGGGAGCCGTTCCCAGGAAGACCCCCCGTCACTCCCTCTGGGTCCAGTCGCAGCAGATACTGGGTGAGATGCTCCAGGCTCTGTGGGACTGCCTCACCCTGGGG